GTAATGATCCAGGCTTTGGCTTTACCTGGAGAGCTCGCAGCCATGCAAAACCAAGCATTAGAATGTTCTCTACAAAATGTAACAGCATCGCCCAATGCAGATAAACAATTGAAAGAACTTGAAGGCACAGAAGTATTAATTTATGTGGAAGAAGTCGATAATAGCAGGTTTGTAAATTTTGCTGTAATTATAAATATACAAACAAGTTTCTGATTAATGGATATTAACATCTTTTATTTGTATAGACTTATCGTAAAATTGTACGATCTATTCGGTAATGGGATAATTAATACCGAAGAGAAGATACCACCCGTATGTGCAATGCCTATTCTAAGTTCAACTCACAATGTCTTTGTATCATATGCGGATCATCCTACTAACATCTGGTTGCAACGATATTTGGATGTGGATCTTGAGACTAAACTAGCGAAAGATCTTCAACAATATTATGCTAGTTCTGGGCAAAATCTTAAACCGGAAATTCATTTATTATGCGCGACGAAATATTCAGACGACGGCCAATGGTACAGAGGGAAAATCACTAGTCTTACCGAAACGACGGCCTATATAAATTATATCGACTACGGCAATTCGGAGGAAGTTGCCCTGGACTCACTCATGGTTTTGGAACCGCAATTTTATGAACCCCACCAATTAGGCATAAATGTGTCGTTGTCCGTATCTCTTACTGGCACTGAGGCTGAACAGAAAGATATATTGCAAACTCATTTGATGAGTAAAGATTTCGTGGCTACATTTTACAACGTGCACAAAAAGTGGATCGTCGATTTAATTGAAAACGGAGAAAAACTCAGCGATAAATTCCGTTCGTTGAATTTAGTAGAAATAGAACAAACATTTGAATCAGCACCTCAACCAGCATCTCAGATACACGAAACAACACCTGGCAGATTCGACGTATGTGTATCTCATGTGGATTCTCCAAGTCAGTTCTGGTTACAGTATATGGATAAGATTACAGTTCTTAATGAAAAACAACAACAACTTCAGCTAGAGGTTCCCAATTTTTTGACGATAGACGGTATACTGGAAGAAGGCACTTTGTGCGTTGCCGTTTATTCGATTGACGATCTCTGGTACCGCGCGGAGGTATTGGACGCAGATGAAGATATCACAACTGTCCGATTCATAGACTATGGCAATACTGATGTCATAGATAACAAGGCGAGCAACATTCGACAGATACCGGACGACTGGAAGAACCTAGAAGTATTCGCATTTAAATGCAGACTTGATGTTATTCCTGTAGATACGGAGGATTGGAGCGAGTCGACTTGCGAGAGATTCCAGAACATAGTAACATCAGTGGAGAGTCTTCAGACTCTGATAGTAGCAGATACTATGCCTAAGCGCGTAGAACTGTTCATAGACAACAAGAGCGTTAGCGAGACATTAGTCGAAGAGAAACATGCCATCATAATTAATACCGAGCAAGAACTCGTAAATGAGATAGTCGATCTTGAACTGGATCCACACTCAGCTTTCGTGTGCCACATTAATTCACCGAGCGAGTTTTGGGTTCAGGAAGAAAAATCAGTTGCCGATTTAGAAGTGATGGCAGATAGATTCATGGTCGCCGATATGTTCCCGAAAATTGAAGAAAGGAAAGAAGGTTTACTGTGTGTCGCCAAGTATCCTGAGGACGGACAATGGTACAGAGCGCGCATTGTCTCTCATGACGATAATGGCACGCAAGTCATATACATCGATTACGGAAATTCCGCAATATCCACCGAAATTCACACTATTCCAGAAGACCTAGCGAGTATACCGCCTTTGTCGCGAAAGTGCTGCTTGGAATTGCCGTCACAAGTCGCAGAATGGTCTGAACAGGCACGTGAAGAATTCGTCAAATTGGCTGCAGACGGCGCGACAATTTTCCTCCTAGACGTTCTAAAAGACCAAGAAACATCGTTGGTGAAACTAACCTTGGACGGCCAAAATGTCGCTGATATTCTTGGTAATATGTGCGAGCAAAATTTGCCAGTTATAGAAGAGAGATTGCCACCGCTCGGTGAAGAGAATTCGCCGAATGTGATGGTCAGTCACATCAACTGTCCAAACGAGTTCTGGATTCAAGCCGAAAGCAGTATAAGCGAACTGGAGGTAATGTCGGATCGTTTACGAGATGCGGAGAGTTTTCTTATGTTGACCAACCTCGATGTGGGCATGGTCTGTGCAGCTCGATATCCTGAGGATGGTTATTGGTACAGAGCAAAAATAGTCGGGCATTGTGAAGAGGGTACGGAAGTCCTGTACATGGATTACGGCAATTCTGCGGTTACTGAGGAATTGCGAGTGCTGCCAGAGGATATCGTGAATATTCCCATCTTATCGAAACTATGCGCGCTGGAAAAACCAAACATTGTTGCATGGAGTGAAAAAGCTTGCGACAAATTTAAGGAACTCGCCGCTGAAGGAGCCACGATGTTCCAGTTTGAAATTCTCGACGAAAACGACCCAATGCATGTTCGATTATGCCTAAACGGAACAAATGTTATTGATCTTTTATCTGAATGCGAAAATATTCCAGAAGTTATAGAAATAATCGAAACAGATGATGAAAATATTGCTGAAAATAATACTGAAAATAATACTGTCGATATGGAAATACAAGAAACAATGTCACATGAATATCGACTAATAAATGATAAAGAAACAGTATTAAATCAAACGGATGATGTGAAATGTATAAATCAAATGAAAAAGCTTGAAATTAATGAAGTAGCATGTAATGGATTGACTAACTCTGATACAGATGAGAAATGCAAAGACCAGCAAATTGCAAGCTTTAGCTGATGTGAAATGTATAAATCAAATGAAAAAGCTTGAAATTAATGAAGTAGCATGTAATGGATTGATTAACTCTGATACAGATGAGAAATGCAAAGACCAGCAAATTGCAAGCTTTAGCGAAATTGAAGAGAACATAGATGACAGTTCTGAAATTACAGTAGTTGAATGTACTTCCTCAATGTTGAAAGATATTATCAGCGCAGTCGTAATAGAGAAGGGTTTAGATGTTAGAAGTGAAACGATTTCTAGTGCAATTACTTCTATCGAACCATATTTAACAGAGATATCATCCTCGTCCAATGTAAAAGAACTTAGCATTGACGAAATAATTGAAAATATGATAAGAAATGCCACTGACGATCTAGAATCACAGAAAATCGATGATGCAAATTTATTAAATGCAAGAGACATTGAGAATTTGGAATCGAACAAAGTTTTATCTGTAACGACTGAAGCACAACTTCAGGACACGCAACTTCATAGTAGTCAAGTTCAGAATGTGGAACAAGAAATATGCATTAAGATGGAATCTGATGCAAACGAGTCTTCAAGACCCGATATTTTAGAAATGGTATCATGCTTGCCAAAAAAACAAATAAATCTCGAACAGATTCAAAGGCAAGATCCAACAAAGAACGGAACCATTCCTAAAAATATAAACAATAGTTTGGAAAGTCATTCTGAGAACACAGATACGAGTAACGCAGATTCTTCCTCGGGATTATCTTGTACAGCGGAATCGCCCATAATTAAGACTGAGCCAATTGTGCAACATAGTCATTCAGAAAAACAGTCAGAGGATATACTTTGTATTTCTGAAGGCGAGTCATCTAAGCTAAATGAAAGCAAAACAGAAGCGAAATGTTCTTTGACACCAAAAACATCACATTCGGAGAAAATTGTAGCCGCTGTCGTGAATCCCTATGTACAATCAGTCCTCGACACAAACGAAACTGACGAGGTACTCAGTATCTCCTTAGAGGACAACATTCCTAAATAGATGGTATAATTTTATAACATAGCGGATACGTATTGCAAATTTATATGTGCATACGCATTATGTACGTACGTATAAACTTACAGTATAAGAACTTGTATAACGTAGGTTTTCCAAAAGATCATTTTTATTTGCCGCGTTTTTCTTATTATGTTTACATAAGTATGTAATGCATATTTAGCAAAAAAAAAAGCTGTACATAATGTATGGCAAAAGTTTAATTTTTTCTCCCTTTTATAAGCGACACAAATATGCCGCGTTTCTTATAAATTTATTACATGTTGCTACTACGATACACGTCACACCAAATATACAACCAAAGATTAATTTACTAATAGCTGAATTAAAATTTTATATCTGATGCTAATTAACTCGTTTATAATATCGAATAATAATTACGGTTCTATCTTGAATCATGTTCATGATTTTTTTTAATTATCATTAAAACAATATCTTTCCAGTTTTTTGCTTTCAATTTGAGATAACTAAATTTTTCTTTGTTTTACAACATTATTACAATTGTATATTATTCATACAACTTTTTTAATCAATATAATAAGCAAACTAAAGTATTACTTCTTTGACATACATGTTTAGCAACTATATATAATCAAATATTTGGAGCAATTTTCAATGCCATTTCTTAAGAAGTGAAATATTTATGCAGTTTTTTTCCCTTTTAAAAAAATAACATTACAAATTATTTTCGCAACATTATAATTACGCAACATATAAAACAGTAGTGTTTAAACGTGATGATTGTATGCAACTTGAAGTTTCTTTGAGCATTGTATGAAAATTGTAAAGTGATTATCCAAAATGTAATTATAAGAGAAAGAAAAGCTGCTTTTTGTGTCGTTATTACGTTGTGTACATTTTCATATATATTGAAACTATGTATACATAAATACTAAATCAAATGTGAATTGTGACTTCATTTTGTATCCTATGCCATGTATTACAATTCCCTTATTTCTGCCTACAGTTCTTTATTAATATATATAACGTTATGATTATAGTGAATGACAAGCAAAGCTGTAATCTGTATAAATTGTATTTGTATTCTACTAAAATATATTTTTCTAATAAATATTTCAAGATATTCTACCGCGTTTTATAATTATCTGCATTTATATAATTTGTAATTTACAAATACATGAAATTTCATTTTTTATTTTTATCTTTGTAAAATATTTTGTTACAGCGCTGTAGTATATAGTGGATTTTTCCTCGAAGAACATACTTATAAATTATTTCTCGAATTGTTCTGGTAACTTCAGAAGTCAATCTTCAAATTCCTTTTTTTGCGACTTCGTGCTCTGGCTTTATTAATTTAAAGAACTCTAATTAACAATGTTCAATTATGTATTAGGTGTTGAACTTAATTCCTGCCGTTTTTCGTCTCCAAAATTGATTTGTTTTGAAGGGAAATACCTTAATCAAAGTATTATTAATAAAGTATTATTAATTAGTAATAAAGTAAAAAATGGAGGAAATTACTTTGATTAAGGTATTCATTCATCTTCCCTTCGAAACAAATCAATTTTGGAGACGAAAAACGGCAGGAATTAAGTTCAACACCTAATATAAATACAAAATACTTCTTCAATTACATATAATTAGTATCACTAACAATAAGTATATTTAATTACATAAATGGTAACGGTAATAATTATATGTAATATGTATAAAAAATATACATATATATAATATAGCATATAAATATATATTTTTTACCTTATAAAAATTTCATATTAATAAATAGGTGCAATACATTGCATAAAAAAAATAATATAAAAACAATTCAATCATTGTTAAAATACGTGACAAAAATTTTAGATTTAATCAATTTGCTTTTTGAAGTCACCCTTGCGTTTAGCGATCATTAAATTCCTTTTGACAGTTGCATTGTAATTGTCACGTTTCTCTTTGGCGAGGAATTCGCGCGCGAGCGCGATTTCGTCCTCGAGGAACCATCGTAGGGGACTCCGACATCGTCTGCACCGTCCCAGATAAGCTCTACCTTTAGCCTCGAGAATCCTGCGTTGAATGGGATACGGCGGCGGACCGATGTCCTGTACGTGAAATTTCACTCCTGGTCCACCGCTGCCCAGAACGACGTTCGTCAAGGATGACGCAAACGGCGGGTTTCGCATATCATAGCGTTTCTCAGGATCCTGATCCTTTTCCTCGCAACAGAATCCATACGGTTTCTGCGGTAGCCGCGAGCGTGGCAATTTTGTGAGACTACGTTTACTCGGCACCTTTTTCATATTGCCTTTCAATCGATCGTAGATTTAAGAAATACTTTCTAAGGAATCATCTCCTCTATTCACCAATTAAGAGATTACTTATCATAATATATTATAAATGTACTTTTAATATTTCAATAAATTCCATGATGTAAGAAATTTTCTTACATCATGATCAATTCTTTTTATCATTCGTTGTCAAAATGAAACAGTTGAGAAATTTCATTAGTGAAAAACAATAATAAATAATTAGTAATAATAATCATAATACATAACAAAATAATAAATAATAATCATAATAATTAATCATATATTGCTGGAGATTTTTATATAATTGATCCCTTCAATTGACTTAAATCGTTTATTGTTAAAATTAAAATAAAACAACTGAAACAATTTTATGCTAAAAAGTTGTGAAAATTAATTATATTGCTGGAGAGTGGAAAGTAATATAATTCGGGCTTAAGAATGGATCATGAAAGTGAAATATATCCCCATCATCCACTTTTCACCAATCACATTCGGTGCTAAAACGCCAGTGTTTATGTGAAGATCTGGGACTACGATGCCGGTCCCAGATCTCAGTCCTTATCACTCATGTTCCGAGACTTTGAGGTAAAAGTTAGGTTAGGTTATCATTAATCTGATGTTTAACATTGTGCGTGATTGTGCGACGATGATGGCATGTGATCGATTATTGTAAGACTCGCAGACCGAATTATGAATTCATCTACCCTGTCGACGAGCACTTTAGGACACTCGACGGGACAGAGAACGCCAGAATCCCAGGACTCGGAGCTGACCTCAAGCGCGACTCAAACATCCAAGATCCTGAATCAAATGAAATCTGAATTACAAGAGCAGAAGCAGCGCAAACGATTCCTCAAGGAACTTCATACAAAACGCATACAATCCTTGCGAAAGGAACTGGACTATCTCAAAGCGACAGAGTGGAGATATCAGTCTATAGATCGGTAAATATCGTGTTTTTTTTTTCTGTCCTTATCTTTAATTCTTCGTTGCTTGGTTGCTTCATTGATGACTTGGCTTTTCTTATATACATTTCTATATTATTTAGGTAGAAAGTACTTAGGATACTTTTCAACAAAACATGATACAATATAACATATTATCTTTATTTAACATCAAACAACAAGGATATAATGGTTTCCTGTGTTACACTGTATCTATTAGCAAAATAAAATATAAATAATATTCTTGAGGCTTTCACGGGTGTTTCCTATATGACGGAGAAAACCCGCGAAACACAAGATTGTCATAAAATATAAATATTTCAAATAATTAATCCGGCGTCATTGTACTAAAATATTACACAGACATTGAGGTGGATCATGATAACCCGAATATTTTTTTTATCTAATCTCATAATGTCAACAATGGTTTTAGAAAGTTTTAGCTCTAGCTACAGGGCGGTTAGTTAAAATCTACAAAGTATGTAAGAAAATACAGATGTTTAAAAATATCTCTGGTCATTATGACCCAGCTACAATGACGCCAGATTAAGTACATGTTATAGTCAATAATGATATTGTTACATTATTTAACAGAGAATATATTATTTAACAGAGAATATAGGTATTATTTTATTGTAATAAGTTATACCATGTCAGTGCATTAGATACTAAAGGCTGCAGCACACACTCTTGCATAACGCATAATGCATAGTGCATAAAGGAATCAACCAATCAAAATTCTTTTTTTCCATGGAATGGGAGGAAAGGAAAAATTCTGATTAGTTGATTCGCCTATGCACTATGCGTTATGCAAAAGTGTGTGCTGCGGCCTTAAAGCTTTGACTGTGTGCATTCTATTATTCACTATTAAATATAGAGGAAAGCCCCCTCTTATGAGATAGGCGCCTAATATGAGATAGCGGCGTTTCTGGTAAAGTAATAAACACTATCTATTGGTTCCACCATGAATTTATTGCTCTTGGATTGAAAACTATTTAATAGAAAATTCATTATTAGATCATGCCTGTAGTCATTGTAAAACAAGATTTTAGAATTTGAATTTGATCAAACCTTGCTTATTATTTAATAAATAAATATTTGGCAATAAATTCTTCATATAGTGATAGAGTAAAGTCATACTAATAGAAAAATACGGGATATGTTGAATTGTTTAATTACAGAAGTTAGATTTGTTGATCGTAAAACTATTAGGCGTGGAAATCGTAATGAGAGATACCCAGTATTCCTAATATGAAATAACCCATGCTCTTATATGTTATAGTGAAAATCGTTGCTAAGGTATAAATATTATTGTGCAATAATAAAAAAGACAACTGGAATGAACGTTGAGTGCCTATTTGCGATGCTTGATTGACTTGATTCCAACTACCTGAAGACGAGTTCTGGGTATAATATATCGCATGCTCATTTTTCGCGTACGCTGGTTGTGTTTGTTTGTATTTTAGAAACATTAAATAAAGTTTTTTAATTGCAATACTAATACACTTTATGTTTTACTATCGATTTCTCGGGGCATCTCATATTAGGAGCACAATTTTTTGACTTTGCGATTTAATCACTTTTTACATTTCTTTAATTAAAAAAAAAATGGAATTTAAATTAAATTTTATATAACGTTATCTTAAAGCTTATTAAATTCCCTTCAAAATGACCTATTATTTTTTTAAATTCTGCCTATAGACTTCTAGCGTTTACCCAAAATGAACTCGGTATCTCATAATAGGGGCCAAATAGCCTTTCCTCTATAAATTCTTAGGGTGCTATTTTATTTGTGTGCTTTTATTGTACGACAAAAACTCATAAATGAGATAGTAATCCTATACTATAGGTATATATATTTTCAGTACTTGCAATGAGTAACGGAATACAGCCTTTAAATTGCAGTAATCCAATACAAATGACCGAATTTATCACGTGCTTCTTGCTGGAAAATATCCTAGGCCATGTTCACTTGACACTTGCGATGTTCTTGAAATCATTTTATCTTTGTTGTTTATATCAAATATTAGACAAAGATAAATGATGCTCATGAGTATTATGATTATTTAAATATCTAAACTATCTTTTATGTTCATAGATACTTAGATAGGAGCCAGAGGAATTAAAGATGTTATCGTTAGTGTATAACGGGATTCAATATGCTATGAGTTATGTGTATCCAAAGACTGCAAAGAATACAGACGAAGAAATTAATGAAGTTATATCTCGTATAGAGCTCGCAAATGAAACCAACACGGATAAAACTGAAAAGAAAGAAGAAGTACTGAACGAAGAAGGATGTTATTATAAGACGGGAAGTATTACCCAGATCTCTACAGATTGCATCCTCATAGACGATTCCTATACATACGATATAATCGATGACTCGACTAATAATCTCAAAGTAGGTGATAAGATTTACTACCTGCTATATCTACGGGATCCAAATGCAAAGCCAAAAGTACGAAAAATTATCTGTGAAATAAGTAACAGCTGGAATAATGAAAACATCAATGTGAAAAATGATGTCCACACTCATATGACATCAAGGAATATAGTTGTTAAAGTAACAAAACGCGAAGGTCGAATCGCCATTGTCGAGCCGAATAATATTCGCGTTGACTTGTGCACAGTGCGATCCGACTTCATTCCCATAGTTGGTGATTGGTTGGTATTAGACTGCTTAGTCGAACTGAACAATGAATCTGAAGATTGGATGGGCGAAATCTTGGAGATTAATGGAATCAAACCGTTGCGATCTCAATTAAATTGTGGTGTGATATCAAAGTACAATCCAGAGAACAAGGTGGGAGTAATTAATAAGGATATAATTTTTTATAAACACTTGTGTGGTATGGGTTACGTTCCCTGCGTTGGTGACAAAGTAGTGACTGAAAGCATAGAAAGTGATCAAGGACAGTACAAATGGAGATCGTTGGCTGTAACTCCATTAATACAGGTAAGATTTTAGTTATTGCATGGTATGATATTATTATATAATTTCTAAATATTTATCTTGTTTTTTTTTATTCTTATTTTAGGCTCCAAAAAAACCCATTAAATTAACAACAAACAATATTCCTCCTTCCATATTAGATACCGAATTATTAAAAAACAAATATGGTATTGTCATAGACGACAAATTAAAATTCAATTTGGGCATAGAAGAAGAGGGTACTCTAGAGGTTTTGATACAAAATAACGCCAGTTATGCTCATTTATTGCAAAGTGGGTCCTTTGTGCCACAGAAGACTCCATCTCAGTTGTCACTAGAGTCACCTGTATATACAAGTATTAACACAGTGATAAATCCTTCAGAAAGCGTTACTTACACATTCAAATGCAAACCACAATTTATTGGTACGTCCGAGGAACAATTTATTTTTAATTTTAAAGACTTCAAGATAGCTAGAGTGTTTCATATAAATATCAATACAAAGAACATTTCACAAGTTTCACCAAAGCTCAATTCCGCATCTATTCAACAAAAGAAGGAGAAATTTGATTTACCTGACTTGAATGAGTTAATTGAAACTACATGTATCCCTGGAGTAAGACCATCTAAACCACCTGCATTTATCAAAATACGCAATGGAGTCTTCAAAATACCACGATACATTTGGAATGCAGTCTACGATATTATGCAGAATAAACTATCACAGACGGAACGCGAAATCGCTATTGGAGATCGGATACCTTGTCTTCAAAAAGAGCTTTCCTTTGAGACATATAAGGACCGTTTTCACGCTTTATTGTTTCTGGAAGAAATAGGTCTAACATTATATTTACAAAGATACAACATGAAAAGTGCGATTCTGCGACGATGCGGTGATTATCTTATGCTTAAAGTACCAGGATTAGCAGAAAAACGACCTTCCCTCATGGTTGGTGATAAAGTTTTAGTATCTTTTCAGTGGAATAGTTCTAAAGGTAATATTTATAAGAAAGAAGTTTAAAAACATATTTTTATATTATATTATATTCATACACAGTCACTACGAAAATTTTACAATACATTATATTTATTAAAAGTTTAGCAATATATGATACTTATTGAAAAGAGCGGATAGATATTTATTATTAGATAAAATGTAAAAATGTAGGAAGAGGACAAGCCATAATCTTAAGCCATAATCTATAAGTCTGCGCTCCACACTTGCGAAGAAATATCTAATGCCACAAATATCTCTGCTCCTTCCAATAAATATGTAGTGCTAAACTTTTATAGTTATCTAAACATATGCATATTGTTGACAGATAAAAATTTTTTAAAACTAATTTTGGAATATCGAAATAATAATATATATATATATATATTTCTGATTTGTTTTGTAATAGAAAACCTAAAATATGAAGGCTTTATTCACAAAATCAAAAGCATGGAGATCTTTTTGAAATTTAACCAAAAGTTTCATCATGAATACAGTGGTGAGGATTGTCAAGTGTCATTTATGATGTCGAATGCTTCTATGCAACGTTGTCACAATGCTATTAATTTAGCTCTCAACCGTCTTGGACCTGATATTCTATTTCCTACCCGAGTAGTGCAAAAAGAGCCACAATTCTATTTAGAAGAGTATGAGAACGAAGAAACATCCATTGATGTGCGGCTTCGTCACAATGAATCTATTTCTTCTAACAATTCCAATTCTTCTATCACTTCTGTCAGTGATACCTCTAATAATACTGTTAAAATATTTCCAAGGATGTCAGTAGCGGATAGACTTTCCAGTGTTAAATCAGTTGAATCATCATTATTTGAAAAAACAATGTCATCTACTAGAATAAAAATGAATCCGAATTTTGAAATGAATTTGGCAAATGCCAACGATGGTGAAATTAATATTGCTAATGCCACAATTTCAAGAACGCCAAATGAATCGATCACTCAAACTAATGATGAACTAAAACCATATATTATTCAAATAAAGAAACGAAAATTAAATTGGTTCAATAAAAAATTGAATTATTATCAAAAGGAAGCTGTAAAAAACATAATATTGGGATTGGCGCGTCCACTACCCTACATTATATTTGGCCCGCCTGGAACAGGAAAGACAGTGACTATATGCGAGACAATCTTACAAATTTTAACCGTAATTCCCGAAAGCAGACTTCTTATAGCAACGCCGTCGAACAGTTCGGCCAACTTAATAGCGGAACGCTTATTAGATAGTAACATACTTAAACCAGGTGATATGGTATGTTTTCGTTTTCTACTGATTTCTTGATTATTATACTAGAGTTTCTGATTTATTATAAAAACTAACAAAATTTTTAACATAATTTCATATATTCGTTAATAAAGAATTACACAAAAAGGATCATATTATAAATTATTAAATAGTTCCGTTTTCTCTGTATTTGTTCATTGTATGTATATGCCGTAGGTTCGACTGATAGCTTACCATTGCTTGAATAGCAATATTATACCTGAGGAACTATTACCTTACTGTGCCACAGCGGAATTAGCTGAGGAAGGAACAGATGATCGTTTCTATCATCATAAGAATGGAATAAAAATGAACTGCACCATGTCCGTACTGGGTCGCCATAGAATTACTATCGGCACTTGCAACATGTTGGGAATATTGCATAACATGGGTTTTCCCCGTGGTCATTTCTCGCACATTCTAGTCGACGAGGCGGGTCAAGCGACTGAGCCAGAGATCATGATTCCCTTGAATTTCATTCATTCTGATTACGGTCAAGTGATACTCGCGGGCGATCCAATGCAACTTGGGCCTGTCGTGCAAAGTCAATTAGGATCATTTTTTGGACTCGGTGTATCATTCCTTTCGAGACTTTTACAGCAATTTCCTTACCAGAGGGACCCTGACGGATTCGAGACCTGCTATGATCCCAGACTCGTTACGAAACTTGTAATGAACTATCGCAGCTTACCAGAAATACTGCATCTACCAAATACACTATTTTATGAATCGGAATTACAGCCGCAAGTATGTATAACTATTGCTATTATGTAAAATTCTGATTTCTGTAAGTCAATTAAAACTTGTTTGTTTGCTTATATTTAGTTGTCATCTAAGAATAGTGAGGAAGCTAAACTATTGGAAATGTTGAGAGCAGAGCTGCCCGAGAGAACGGGATCTCCACCAGCCATAATCTTTCATGGGATCAGTGGTGAGAACTACAAAGATTCCGAGAGTCCAAGCTGGTACAATCCCGAAGAAGCTGCACAAATATATCTCTATTTGTCGAAGTTGTATAAATGTGGGCTTGAACCAGATGATATAGGAATTATAACTCCTTATTATAAACAGGTATACATAAGTATTTTAAGTAAAATTCTGTTATTTGTTAAAAGTCTTTCTTCCTTTTCTATGAAAATCATTTGTATCAAGGTGGTGCAAATCCGAGATCTGCTGTTGGAGCTAAATCTTAAGTTACCCAAAGTCAGCTCTGTGGAAGGATTTCAAGGTCAAGAAAGAAAAGTAATTATTATTTCGGCTGTCAGATCGTGTAACAATTTAGTTGATGAGGATGTCAAGCACTCTCTAGGCTTTGTTGCTTCGCCCACTAGACTCAATGTCGCAATTACTCGTGCTCGCGCTCTACTTATTATCGTAGGAAATCCGAACTTACTCGGTTTAGATCCGTATTGGAGGAGCCTTCTAACATATTGTATTGATTGTGGTGGATATACGGGATGTAACTTTTCACTTTCGTAACAAATCTTCAAAACGTAAAAATAATATCTCGTAACATTACGTAAGAATCATAATATTTAAGACGTAATTATTGTAACTATAACTATACTTATAAATAGTTGACAATTCTATATTTCTTAATTAGTATGCTGTTATTACAATCGAACTGCCAATTTCGAAATTCTATAATTAATGAAATTATATAACAGCCCTTTCTAAAGTCCTTGAATAAAATATTTTTATTTTTTGATACTTTCTATTAACAAAGACAAGATACTCGATAGGATAACTTATAATGACTTTTAATTAAACTAAAAATTTAATGTGTATGTAAGAATAGGATACACACTGCTCTCGAAAAGTTTTCATACATCGTAGTAAAATTTTTGATGCTTTAAATCGTTGAACTTATTGTACCGTAGCACTGATTGTAAACTAAATCAAAGATTTTATCATACTGCAAAACTAATACAATCGTAATTCGTAAATCATTGTTTTTGAAATATAATCAAATACCTATTTATTTAAATATACCTAAAATAATGAGAAACGGCAATGTCCGGAAACGGTAGTGTACAATAAATAAATGCGAAGTTTTCTCTTATAAAATGTTATTGGTTGCTCATTATTTATTATAGTATAGTTTGACAATTCCAAGATACTGACAGCGAATAAAAATAAGTACATCTGATTCATGATGTCACTTATGCAGTATTTCTTTACATTTGGAAGCCTGATTACTGTTAATAATCAGAGGTGGAATATCTTTTTTGGGCACTATTCCTCCACGTTGTATCGAGTTGTCAGAAATCCAAGTTCCACGAGTGATACTGAAACAAAAGTGAAATTGTTTTTAAAATTTATAAGCAAAAAAAGTACATTTTAGAACGTCACACTTTGTAATGATTACATGTAATGGTAAAAAGCAATATGAAAAGAAACAAAACATTTCAGCTTAGTGTGATTGGCAAGAACAACAAATTTAACAAATGTGAGTGTATGTGTGGACAAACGTCAAAATAATATATTAGAAGTACAAAAATTAAAGATTGCATAAGACATACAAAAAAATCTGATTAGATATTAAATATAACTAGACACATAAATAAATTATTGTGTAGACCATTACATACTTAACATTAATTTGTAATATGCATAACTTTACTTCACTTTTACTTTTCTCATGTCTACTGCAATGTTTTTTGCGTTAAATGAACCAAATGATATTATACGCGCAATACGATTGTGAATGATACTGACCTCTGTTAGTTCCACACTATACTTACTGGATCTTGATTTTTCGCTTTTAGTTTTCTCTCAATTAGATTCTCTAATGCCTCGCTTCGTACACTCAATGTCTCGATCTTCTCAACCAATTGTTGATATGGAGACGCTGGCTGTCCTCCCATTACTACATGTCCCAACTTGCTGTCAATCTTGGCATCTAAACGTGCATTGCGAATTAAGTTCACAATCCAGCACTCCGCAACATCCGCCTTCATATTTAGTTTCTCCGCAAGCATCCTATAAATAATATAAAAATTAAAAATAAATGTGTAAATGTGTACATGTATGTGTTTTGTGATTCTATAAAGACATAATTAATATATAACTAATAAAAAAATAATTAATCAAATCTTGTTTTTATCACCATGATGATGCAAAAAATTTACATACTGGATACTAATGCATTGATGAATTCTGCAGAATGTTTCGAAAATCATCAACCGTGCATTTTCCACAAATTCATTCAATAGAGCGATTAGAAAGAAATCGTTAAAGACGACAGTCTGGCACTCTTGCAACTTCTGTCGAGCTCCATCAAAGTCAAAATTAACATACAAATGTTCCAAAAATTCTGTGATGGGATCTCGATAGGTATAAGATTCCTATATATGTAAAAATAACATTTTTTAAGATATATATAAAACATTTCAATAATACAATATAAAAAATATCAGTTTTTCATTATTAGTTATAAATTTTTCAACAAATTTGAACCAATACGATTAAACTGATATTCTATTTAAAAATTTTTTATTCTCTTAAATTAAATTAATTATCGACACTTAAAAACACGAATTTTTATATCTTATAAAGTAATGATTTCAAAATCTGACCTGTTGTATTACTTTTACGAGATCCTTCAGAATAGACCGCCTAGAACGATTGACAATAACTGCTGCAGCCAAGTAACGAAGTATATGCGGGCACATTGTTTGAATAGCATTTAAATAACTGCAAAAATGTATTAGACAGGTTAAAATTTTATAATTTTCGTAAATATCATTAATATTACATTATTAAAGTGGTTTTTTAAATTTACGTAATTACCTACGCGTAAAATGTTTCTGACACATTCCATTATACCTCAATTTTTATTCTCTTTAATGATTTACAATTAAATAAGGACTGATAATATTCTATAGATATTCCATAGATAAAAATAAATGTAAAAAATTTTAATTGTGAAACAATTTCTAAATATAGTAATATATAGAAATAGCATTTATTTATTTAATGAATTTATAAGGCTGAGGTATCCTGGACATCCCACACAAGTATATGATAAATTAAATACTTTCTTAACAAATTGTACATACTGTGGCCGATAGAGGAACATCTCAATAATGAGATCTCTTCCCTTTACATGATTAAAGAACACAAATAAACTCCAGTGAATGAGCCATGTGCGTTGCTGTAATACTTGCAGCGAATTGCCAATAACATTACTGTCAATATATTCTCGCAACTTATTCACGTCCTCCAATGCTGTTTCCCAATTTTGTACAAGAATCTCTGATGCCAATTTTCCCCATAAAACATTTAAATAGTTCTAAAAATTAAATATACAAATATTAAAATAGACAATTTCATAAAATATATTGTACTTAATTTTTATAATTATAAAAATTAGTATTACCTTATCAGTAGGGGGCATAATCAGCATATAGAAATATAAATATGATGTAGAAACAGAATAATTACCACATTCATAGCGATACTTTGCCAGCTTCACAAAGCTGTCCATCATTTCTACCCTAAACTGTACATGCAAGACTACATCAATATACATTTTTCAAATTTATAATATCTTGTTAGAATACTTAAATAAAAATTTCATTATCTAACACAGTAATAACTGTTCTACCTACATCTGATTCTTGAGTAAGATAATTATTAAGCGCTTTTGAATCACGCATGTTTTCCATTTTCTTCATAACTTCCTCATTATTCATAAGAGCAAGCACTACTGAAACATTATTTTGGAGTACACCAAGCTCTTGTAATACATCAGCACGTCTGGATTTTATTTCCTGTAACATCGTTATGTTAATTCATCATTTAATCCTTAAATAAAATCATTATTTTCTTCATTACAATTGTTTGTGCCTGGGTTGATTTTTATCACTTTTACAAGTATACAAAAATTATTAAGTGATTCTTACATATATTTTAAGATCTTTAGAAAGTATTTATAAGATTAAATTAAAAAAAGAAAAGAATAGATTATTATATAGCCAAATGCACCTAGTATTAAAAAAAAGAAATGTAGAACATGAATGACCCATTATGTGTACTAAGGAATAAACACAATCTGAATATGTAACAAGAAGTTGAATCCATGATGATCAATTCTTTCACAACTCTGTAACAGTGACACACACATTACATGATGAAACGCACCTCCGGTACTTCTACATTGGGATAAAGCTGTTTCCTGATGTCGATGGTGTAGTCAATCATATTCGTCTTGCTGAGAATGTCGAGTTTCGCATGTAACAGCTCATCCTCGTCGTAAATCTGCAACGCACCACATGTGACATAACCAAAACGCAAGTAACGCGACGTCGCGACGCCCGACTCCATACCTGCTTCGCCGACAGAAATTCCAGCAGAGGAAACACCAAGTGGCGGTCCAAGTATTGACCTATGCGAGACGTTAAGTCGAATTTCGCCATTGCGGCGCTTTCGGTTTAACGTCAATTAACTCGTAAATGCCAAACCTGGCTTCGTACGCTCACCTCACCGTAATCGCGCCGAATGAAAGGACTGGAAAGGACATTCTCACACAACGTGGCGCTGGAATATGTGAAGTTAGCAACAATTCATAAGCAATCGCCGCAGGTTTGCCATTCACCCAGGCAGAAATGATAAGTCACTGAAAGAAAAAAACGATTAATTTGACAATCAAAAAGGCAACCTAATAAAAAACATTTTATTTAGGCAATCTTTTTTTTTAATTTGATATTATTCTTAATATTAATAATGAATTATATAAATAACAATTATAAAATAATTAATTTTGTTTTTTTAGGAAGTTTCGTCGCGCAAAGGTTGTCACTTTGATTCAAAATAATGTGATGATTGCAGCTGATTTCAGTACAGTACATTCGGAAGAAAGCGAAGGTGGTAGAGTTATCGTTAAAATTTTTCGAACAGTTTTAGGCATTATCTGTCGCCGAGGTAAAGTACTCGAGTTGACAGAATGCCACCGAAAAAGCCGCCGGCGCCGAGCAAAAAAGCGGAGCAAAAGAAGAAGGAAAAAGTTATCGAGGTAGGAAACACTTTTTGTGTCTAACCAAAAATTTTGGAATTCCACATGTTTTCTAGATAAATATATGAAACAAATTTATACTATATTTTTTAACACATACGCGTATCAAACTTAATTTATCTAAAATCTGAACCTTTTTTCTCTTTTAAGGATAAAACGTTTGGTATAAAAAACAAGAAAGGTGCCAAGCAACAGAAGTTCATTCAGCAAGTTGAAAAGCAAGTGAAATCTGGTGGTGTAAATCCCCGCAAACTCGAAGATCCCAATGCTAAAAAGTTGGAGAAGGAGAAGAAGCTAAAAGAACAAAAGGAATTAGCTCTTATTTTTAAACCCGTTCAAGCACAAAAGATCGATAAAGGTACTGAATACACTGACAACGACAGAAAGCTATCAAATATCAAACATATCTTTAAATAAAAAAATACAACAAAATAATTTTTGCAGGTATAGATCCCAAGTCCGTTGTGTGTGCATTTTTCAAGCAAGGACAATGTACAAAAGGAGATAAGTGTAAATTTTCACATGATTTGAGCATTGAGCGGAAAGCTGAAAAACGATCTTTATATTGTGATATGAGAGACGATGATAAAGAGGAGGATACAATGGATAAGTGGGACGAGGATAAGCTGAAAGAGGTTGTGGAAAAGAAACATGGTAGTGGCAGTCGTCCAACTACTGATATCGTAAGTACAAATAGCATTATAATTTAACTGTAGGAAATTGTTTGAATGTTTGTTCAATTTATGGGGGAATATAAAACAAAATACTCCTTTCTCACTAGATATGCAAACACTTCTTAGAAGCAGTAGAGAAGTCGAAATATGGTTGGTTTTGGGAATGTCCGTCTGGTCAAAAATGCATCTATAGGCATGCTTTACCTCCTGGATTTGTCTTAAAAAAAGATAAGAAAAAGGAAGACAAGAAGGATGAGATTTCCCTAGAAGATCTCATAGAAACAGAAAGGGCCAATTTAGGACCTAATCAGGTATGAATATATTGTTATGAAATATGTAAAATTCAAATTAAAAAATAAATTTTACATGAAGAATATAGTATACTAAGATTATATATTAATCTTATATAATAAAAATTTTCAACAGACTAAGATAACGCTAGAGACATTTTTGGCTTGGAAGAAGAGAAAGTTGAAAGAGAAACAGGAACAAGCGATCAAGGATGAAGAGAAAAAGCGAAATGATTATAAGGCTGGTCGCCAAGTCGGTATATCAGGAAGAGAAATGTTTTACTTTAATCCAGATCTTGCAGCAGGAGATGGTAAGTTTTCATTATAGCTTATTAAAATTCCACTAACAGAATTTATTATTTAATTGCTTAATTTAATACTAACGTTATTTAAATGTAGGTATCGACGAAGGAGATGAAGCAATATCTAGTTATGTTCGTGAAGAAGATGAGTCTGAAGATGTACAGTATAGGGAACTTGATACAGATCGCCTTGCTTTTGAAGCTAGCGAAATCGATAGTAACGGTATCACAGTAGCAGCTGAAGATCGGTTAAAGGCCAGCAATACCACTGATAACAATAAAGATACTACAGGTTGCAATTATATTAATTAATGTTATGTTCAGTAATATAATTCACTGATAAAATGCTTTAAACTTTAAGAAGCATACAAATCATAAATAATTTATTATTTTAAACTCATATAAAATAAATTATGTACAGTCATTAAATATATCCGCGTGTAAACAATATTTCTGAATAAAGGTTATGCGTTTCGCGGGTTTCCTCCGTGTCCAGATCCATTCTTGAGATGCTAACGTTTCGTGAACCTTGCAGTCCACTTCATCAG